GAGAATGCACGGGACGGACGCGTCGACGAACTTGAAAGGCCCACTAATTATACAACCTGCAGGCGCGCCGCCTGGCGGTGGCTGGCCTGGCTACAAATTGGTTTTAAATGAACGATTGAGGGCACGGCACGGCCGCAGCCGCGTCCGAATGATTCATTGGCTGCGTCCGTTTAGCCGCGTCCACAGCCGCAGACGCAGCCAGCAGCCACAGCCGAAACATTCGGACGCAGCCAGATACTGCATGTTGTCGTGTTTTCGTAACTCACGACGTGCTCGCGCAGTCGCGCTGCTACGAATTGACTCTGTTTTTACCCCAGACACCGCATACAAAAACAAACGCTAATGTGTAACGCATATCCAGGCACCAGACTGTTCCTCATTTGCATACGTGTGCAAAAATCTTGCACATGCAAATGATCCAATACCAGGGTGAGCGAGCAGGTAGTGGTGGGCGCGTACTGCTCGACACCCTGGGGACGAGGTTGGTATGAGGGTGGTTACTAAGCAAATCGCGCGTGCGCACTGCATATTCATGCTGCATAGTCTGGCCCCCGGACCAGACGTGATATGAGCGTCGAGAATAATTGTCCGGTCTAGGGAACCAGACTACACGCTGCACAGGTACAGAGGTACGTACAACATGTACGACTCGGCGGTGAGAAACTGATGAAAAGAGTCTACAAACACGGGGAAAATTCGGCCAACCGAACACCACTTGCCTGCCGCCAAACATCCAAATGTTCACCTCACCTTGTGATTTCAACCAAGAGGAATCCAGGAAAGAGTGGACATGCGAAAAAAATATTGGTAAAAAGTGTGGTTTTGGAGCACATTTTGCATGCACATGTAGTGCAGATCTGAGTTGAAGCAGCCGGTCAAAACTGATTGAAGTGTGGAACAGCGGTACGTTATACGCATGACATCGATAACCATGACGTCGCATGAGACGTCGCATGAGCCGGCCAATGATAGTGAAATACGTCATTATGAATATTTATTTTCTCATGAATATTTAGTTCATTTCAATGGATACTTCAAATACGTCCAAAGATTGATCATTGCAACAGCGATCGTGCGCGGCCTAGCGGTTAAGAGACTCGTGTATCAAGCAAGCGTACGAGGTTCGAATCTCGATGAAGTGAGTGACTGATTGATAAATAGAAATTAAGGAAAGGAGGGGGTGAGAGTAGAGGAGGGAAAGTGGAGGGAATAACCATAAAAGAGGTAACTTTTGGCGCTAGAAAATAAATTGAATAAAGTGGTGATCGGATAGCCGAATTTTTCCGGTCATAATTTTTTTCGCCCGGTTTTGAGCACTTCATACCCTGGACTCCCTCCGTTACGTAGGGAGGAAAGGGAGTCCACCTGGGCTTACGTAGGGAGGAAAGGGGGTCCACCTGGGCTAATGGATTCAATAATGACTGTCATGCTATTGCTAGTTGTACTGATTACGGAAACTAGACGATGTTTGAAAACTGTTCTGCCGATTTAAACATCAGAATGCTTTTTCCTAATGTACTGTAGTGCCAGTTGATACGTCACCCGTACTAATTAATGTATCAGAATTATGCGGTCACGTGACCGATGATCAAAAATTCGTTTATCGTGGGCGCCGCCATCTTAGATCAGTCGTTGTTGTATGATAAACATTGTCACATGGTTGTTACCAAAACTCTTCCAGAACTTCTAGTGTTCTCGTGTTTCTGCACCAATCCGTCTCCTTTGCGTTCGAGACCCAAGTTGCCGGATCGGACTCAAGCCTGGGATTAATCCAGTAATCCTGCGGCTTGTCTTTTTATGAGGAATTCGGACCCGTAAGAAGTGAAGTCGGCCGCGGCAAGCACCGTCTCGGTTCACGCTCCTGACGCACGTGTAGATACACCGTGAAGCACTACATTAGCGACGAGGACAGTTCGGAGCGGCACAGCAAGTAGCCTTCAGTACATTTAAAGCTTATTGTTGGGCCATCTCTTGATCTCAGTATTGGGTTTGATAAGGAATTAAACCAATACAGAGAGAAAAATAAAATAAAAAAAATACAAGGGGGAAAAATAAGCGGAAGGGAAAGTGGTTAAAGATAATTAATAGGACTGTCAGTGTCATGACCGTCCACAAAACAAATTAACAATTGGTTAGCCCTCACTGTGGATACTTTGGCCGTTTAGAATTTTGAGAACTTGGGTCACTTTAGCATACAGTCAGTTAGTGGTACGGCCTTTTTTTGTTTACAGTTTTCAACATAAATTACCATGTTTACTACTGTCTATTTTTATTTCGCATCTGAATATAGAAATAGACAGGGCTGATTTTGTGGACTATGTGCTGTTGGGCTGTGGTTAGAGATACATGTGTGTGTTCTCTGCAGTTTATTGCACTAAACAAATAAAGCGCGTCTGTAGTATCTTGGGTAATTTAATACCGGAACAGGTATTATATAAGTAATATTCTTCAATCTAACTTTAACTTTTTGTGATTTCTGTTTTAGCCAATGCATATTGCTTGTGTTAATAAATAATTTAAACACAGCAAAGTAAAAAGCAACAACAAGAGAGCGTTTATGCCTAGAACGCATTCAGTCTGGTTTTTTTTTTTGGTGAAGACAACGCATCCGTTTTATTTCTGTGGTATTTAAGCGAGGCATCCATTGTAATTTTGTTGTGCGATAATTTTTTCCAATTTATTTCTTGGTGAAAACAACGCATCTGTTGTATTTTTGTTTGGGATAATTTTTTGTTCATGACTGGAGCATTCTGGAGCTGTGTACATGTAATTTGTTGTGCTACCGCGAGCAACTTTGTACGCCGTAAATTTTTTTCTAGGGAAGATTTCTTTGTTCCTCATGTCCAGACTAGTTCCTATAAATTTCGCAGGGGAGGTCGAGTTGCAGCAACTTCACGGGATGGGGTCTAGGATTGCTAGAAATATCGTCCAATACAGGGAGGAGAATTTTCCAATAACTCCCGATAACGTTGAACACATACCCAGGTTAAAACCCTCGGAGAGGTTGTATAGGTCAATCGACTTCACCACAGACCCCAACTGTCAGCAGGCAACCATGCAGTCGGATCGAAGCCCGACTAGGGAGCCGGTGGCACCCGCGCAACAGGACAACCGCATCAGGTCGTCCAGTCAACCAAAGCCATCAGAACCCCCTCCACATTCCGCAGAGGCCTTCGTGCAGAACATGTCGCAACACATTGACACTGCTCAAGCACGATGCAGACCTCAGGGTTATGTATTACACAAACCTGGTAGGCCGGTGTCGCAAGACATGCCCCCATGGTCTTTTTACTCGGACAGATACACACCACCGCCCACGTACATGTATGCATACCCACCAATTCCACCCCAAAACCCAGATGTAGGTGCTAACCCGTACCTACCACCGCAGTCGGTGGCATACCGCCCTGACCCACCACAGCAATGGTATGGTCAAACTCCATATCCGTCACCAGATATGGTACCACCACTTCAGTATAGGCACCGTCCAGTGGTAATCCCGCAGTCGGCAAATTCGTGCACCCCATACTCGAGGTGTGACGCCAGATGACCGGAAACCACGAGTGCTCCCCAAGACGCTGGAGTTTGATGGCAAACTCGATTGGTCCCTTTACAAGCGGAAGTTTGAAACCTATGCAATGTCTGTTGGTTGGACGGAAAGTCAGAAAAAAAAATATGTTGATTTGGGGATTGACAGGGAAAGCTGCAGACTTCTACGTCCTTCTTAGTAAGGTGAACGAAGACTTGTCCTACAGCCACCTCATCTCAGAATTTAACAAGAGGTTTAAGAGAGAAGAACTTCCCGAGACCCTCCAGGCCCGTTTCCAATTGGAATGCCAAGAAGAAGGCGAGACCCTAAGAGACTGGGCCGATAAAATCCTCTCCTTGGCAGCCAAGGCCTACAAGGATTTGCCCGAGGCGTGGATCAGGAAGAATGCGATCATCAGGTTTTGCATGGAAAGCCTGGACAAGGAAGCTGGTCAGCATGCCTGCATACAGCAACCTAAAACATTTGACGAGGCAATGGACAAGATGGAGTGGTTCCATCCAGACATGTTCCGAAAAAAAAACCAACCAAGTCCGCACCCCCGTCAGGGCATATAAATGCGCATCGTATGAGTTCGGCGAAACCGACCCTGGTTCCGAGGAAGAAGAAGAAGAAGATCTAAGGATAAGGAAACTGGAAGTGAGAAGGAAGCAGTTGACTCCCCAGCCTATCCTTAAAAGAGAAAGTGGCAACAAAACACCCGAGCTTTCACAGGATGTAGGGGTAGCAGACTTAGCTAAGCAGATGTCACAGATGACAGTGGCTACATCAGCTTTGACCAAGCAGGTAGCTGCTTCTATCTCTGATCTTACTACGGAGATCTAGGGAATGTTCCGGGAGCTGCACTGTAAAACGCGAGAACATGTGACACGTTTATGAAATAAACGCAGTGTTTTAGATTTAAACACTATGTGACATAATTAAACACATCATGTGTTTTTAAACAAAACAGTTAGCGTTTAATGTCAACGGTGCTATAGGGTGTTTATTATGAGATCGGTTTTAGAAAATGTTTTAACTGTTCAATTTCACTAGTTAGCATTTTGTTTATTCCCAAAGAATAACACTTTGTTTAAAAAAGGCTTATTAACTTATTAGGACACTAATAATAACTCAAGTTATTAATTTAGCTGTTTGTGTTCAACACCTAATAAACACGGTACACGTCACGATGTTTAAATATGACCACGTGATGTTAGGTCTTAACCAATAGGATTAAATCTGATTGCGTGCTAGCGCGGCATAATCGGGCCAGTTAATTACGCGGCACAAAGACAACCGCCATTTTTCTGACAATAATCTGGGCACACTAATGGAATAATGTAATGGCGAGAATTAGTATCGTCATTCGTGGTAACAAAATTTGCATCGGGTAATAAAACAATATACATGTATGATGTAGTCTCACAGAAAGTACTAACAGTTGGACATGACCTAGGCTACAGGTCAAGTTTGGTATGCATATTGCCAAGTCAGCAAGAGTACTCAGATGCAACGTATTCTGTGCATGCAGTACGACGGTTGTAGTTTGAACCAGTTCTGGAAGCTCCCACACAGGTGGTAAGTTTTGTCTTTTGTGTTGTTTGATTTAATTAATCCCGATATACAATATGATAGATTTAGAAATATGAGATGAGATGAATTAGTGGGAGCAATTATTGGCCAAAGGATCGTGTGATAAAACAGGAATGTGAAGGGGAAAAAACAACCCTGATTTTGATTTCCTCATATTATTTTTCTTGGATGACGATGCTGTTATACAGTATAACTGCTGTGCAGCTCACAATATTATGAAGGAAGTTCTGTATTTGAGCCACATTATGGGATGGTCTATGTTGAGTGTATACTTAATATGAGGCTATAAGCCTATGGGGCGATTTACAATTGCAAACACGCAGTGTCAAAATCTTTGTAATCTTGGAAAATTCAGTGAAGTGGATTTTTTTTTGAAATCGTGATTTAACTATTCAATAAAAGCATGCTAGTGTTATCACCACTGCCTAATGTTAGCTGAAAGGGACCAGCATGAATAATTTTGAAAAGAAAATTCTAGTATTTGTAAGGTCAGGTACAAATTGTTTAACCATAATTTCCATTTCACATGATGTTATGGACGTATAGGCCTATTGTTTTGATATTTTCTTTCTGTATATTTTCAGGGTGTGTCTAATCCCTTGCAGATGAAGGAAGCTATTGACTTTTAAAATAAGGTAAGTGTCTTTTGGCATTGATCGTCATTTGACAGTACAGTATGTGATTGTAAAGATCAGCTGTGTATAAAACTTTTGAAAAACCCGCAGTGCGTGTACATAAAAGATGATCCCCCAATTTTTGGTACAATGCAGTATTTCACAGGGATTCAAAACCATTCGTTTTACAGAACATGTGTTATGTTTTGAATATAGGGTCCTCTGTAGACGCTCGATGTAATTGCATACATGTACGTTCAGCAGAACACCAAGTTTGAACGTGGCGAGGGTACGAAGACGAGGAGAGTGCTAACTATTCATGAGGTAATTTTGTATTGTAAAATATATTATTCAAATCTTCAATTTCATTGAATGATGATGTTTGGCTGAGATTCTATCTTGCATGAGAACCTTTCAACTTCCACTGTAAATTACTCTGGCGGTAAAACATCATGAAATAAAAAAGTATAACATTCTAGGTGAATACAATTTTGAAATACAATTTTAAATAGAAAGTCTCCATAAATACCTACATGACTGCAAAGTTATTGGTACAAAACTGTGAAAAGCTTGCCTATTTTCTTCAGATTTTATTTTTAATATTTGATCCATGATCAAGCTCAAGCTGTAACTTTACAGTCTTTGTGCACATTATCTCTGATAACAAAGGTTAATATTGACGTGAGTCCCAAAAAGGCCGACAATTGTGCAATTTACTTTTGAAACCAATTTTGTAATCAGTTTTCACATTCTTCCTGGAGTAAACTTTATTAATGACTTATCATTTTAGGGTCTCCATTATTTTTTTTACTGTGAGCATGGTTTCACTTTCAAAGTTGATCAGTTTTTGTATGGCTCACTCAGAAATCTTGTTTATGTCCACAGAATGCTGCTGAACCAGACAGAGTATCTGCATCAAAACTACAGTTTACATTACATGTGGAGACACCATCAAGAAAGTCTCGAACTACAACACGTACAATGATGCGCTTCCTCTCCAGCTTGGGGAACTATGCCTTTGATTTGGATTATCCAAAGTATTTTCACGTGCTTTGAGTTCTTTTCAATAAATCATAATCAGAGAAAAGTTTTCCTGGCAGATTCCAGCAAATTCATGCAGTTCACTACAAGGTATTTGTGTATAAATTAATTGGATATATTGTTGAAATCTCAGCTAAAGATCAATACTTATTTTACCACTTCAAACTATAACGCAAACCTTCAAAGGTTTTAAAAAACAAGTATAATTCATTTGCAGTTTTACTTCTAACTCTCATTGAATTGGAAAATAATTGTTTTTAGCCCTATTTACAGATATATTCATTTACTTCAAATTCACCCTTTTGTGTTTGTTTATGTTTTTGTTTCTTTGTTTTGATACTTGTGAAAAATGTAATTGGCCTTTATGTTGGGGTCTTTAAAAAAGGATTGTTGGAAACATACTGATAGGCATGTGGCATATTCACATAAATGTCACATTATTTTTGCTGTCGTGATGTACAATATTCTCTAGGGGTGACCACAAAAATACATTTGTATTTTATTGTGTCCATTTTCATGATTCGAAAGAACTCAATAGGCCTTTCACCACAATCCTATAGGTAAAAATGAAGACAGCTTTGTGAAGTGCCCTAAATGCGTTTATTTCAATGTTGTTAATATTGTGACTGAAGTTTTACTTGCAATTTTGAATACTGTTCGAAAACTAAACACACACTGTGAATATAAACACTTGAAAATAATAATAAATGGCGTCACATGTTTAAAATCTGTCACAGGCAATAAACGTGTCGCATGTTTAAAATTACAACAGATTGACGTGTTTTCTTTTTGACTGTGTGTTTACTTTTTAAACGTCAGTAGTATTTAAATGTTAAACGCCTTTGATGTATATATTTTAAACACTGTTCCGTTTAAAGATTAAACACCGTCAGTGTGCTGATTTTAAACATCAAATATGTTTCCAAATTAAACATGTTCATTGGATAAACTGCGTCACATGTTTAAAAACTGTCACAGATTAGTGTTTATTTAGGTGTTCTAAACCTAAACACATGGTTTACAGTGTGGGACGACAGAGGAGCACATCTCCGAGTCGGCGAGCCTGCTATTTGTGTTGCGACGAGAAGCATTTTGCAAGAGAGTGCCCAACAAAGGACCTGAAGGAAAAGAAACCAAGGTTCTTCGTTTCGAAGATGAGCAGCCAAAACCTCAAGGGACGAAGATGGAGGCCAGTAGATTACGGCCAGGAGGACTCACCGCATCTGTTGAGCCCCCCACTATGCCACACGCGTATTGCCACAGTAAATACCCAACCGCACCAGGTTGTTAGCCATGCACATCAAAATACAGAAAAACCACATCGGGACACAACAGAGGCAGAATATCCGCATCGGGATATTATCAGAGCAGAAAGGGAAAAGGCGATTTTCGAGATGGCAGAGGATGAATGCCCTGCCAATACCGAATTTGCAAAGACACCTACAGAGACAATAGAGGACATCGTCACCGTCAACCAAATGCAGTCAAGTGCAGTTTACCATGTACCAGTACAAATAGAGGACCAACATATCGAGGCAGTAATAGACACCGCAGCGGAATCTACCATACTGTCGGATCGTATTTTCAATAAATTACATCCTAAACCAAAGGTACTCTCTAACATGAAATTTCACATGGCTAGATCGGCCCAGTGTCTTTCAGGATTGGCTCCACGGTACATCAATACATGTCGCCCCAATTGAGGATGATATGTTGCTAGGGGTTGATTTCTTCAGGAGCCGAACTATGAAAATTGATATGGGGACAAATCTCATGATGCTGGGAGAGGACACAGTGTCTATTCAGTTTGGGAACAAACCCAGGGAAACTAGGGTTTCCCGAGTGATGGTAGGAAAGAGGAGAGTTATCCCTCCGAACTCTGTCACTGCGGTTGTTGGTCAGCTAGAAGGGACAATGCCGGACTATGTCCTAGAACCACTCCCAAACTCGCATCTTGTAATTCCAAGATCTGCACACCGCAGTAAAGCCAGGCCGACATTATATGTTGCCAACGTCACAAACAGCTTTGTGGTGTTGAAACCTGGGCAGGCTGTAGGAGAAGGTGTGGAAGCTGATGCACTTCCTGAAATTTATGACACCGCTTTTGGGTCAGAAACAGACTCACAAGGAACCAGTGCCGCACGTGCACCGGTAGGTGATCAACACAATCCAAACACTAGCTCCGCATTCGGGCTAGCTGATGACCCATGTGCGAATGTACCAGCACACCTGGGAGACATGCTGAAAAGGTCCAAGGGAGAACTTACAGAAGAACAGTTCAGTCAGCTGAGAGATGTCATCTGTAATTTTTCTGACGTCTTTGCATCTCATTTCTATGATATCGGGACAGTCAAAGAGATTGAACATGGCGTTGACACTAGAGACGCACCACCAATCAAGCAACGAATGAGAAGAACGCCAGTTCAGTTTGCTGGAGAGGAGGAGAAAGAGCTGGACAAAATGCTAGAGGCTGGAGTCATAAAACCTTCGGTCTCCGAATGGACATCTACGCCGGTTCTAGTTAGAAAGAGGGACGGTACAGTCCGCTTTTGCGTTGACTATAGGGCCCTCGATAACATAACTGTTAAGGACGTTTACCCTCTCCCACTGGTCGAGGACTGTGTTGACACACTATCGGGAAACCGTTGGTTCTCGAAACTTGATGCTATCTGGGGATACTGGCAGGTCAACTTGCGTAAAGAGGATCGCAAAAAGACGGCATTCATCACCAAATATGGCTTTTTGAGTTCACCAAAATGCCATTTGGCCTCTGCAATAGTCCTTCCACGTTTTCCAGAGTAATCAACCTTATCCTCAGAGGCTTGAATTGGAAAACTGCCTTGGCATTCCTGGATGATGTTGTCATCCTAGGAAGTAATTTCCAGGAACATCTCCACAATTTAGCTGAGGCACTAGAGCACTTCAGACAGCACGGACTTAAACTCAAACCCAAAAAGTGTGCCTTCTGTTCAAAAAAGGTGGAATTCTTAGGTAGAATTGTCAACGAAAACTCCATTGCATTCTCAGACGCAGATATAAGTGCAGTGAAGTCCTGGTCAACACCTCAAAACACCAAGGATGTCGAGCAATTCCTAGGCTTTGTGAATTACCACAGAGCCTTCATCCCCGACTTTGCAGAACTTGCGGTTCCATTGTATGCCATCACAGGACGCAAAGAATTCCGTTGGGAGGAGGAGCAGGAGACAGCCTTCAATGCCCTAAGAGACAAGATGACGCAACCGCCTGTCCTTGCTCTGCCTAACGCGCACGACGAATTTATCCTGGACACTGATGCGTCGAACACAGCCATTGGTGGAGAGTTGATACAAGTCCAGGATGGCCAGGAAAGAGTTGTCGCCTATGCGAGTTACGCCTTAACTCCTGAGCAGAGACGCTACTGCACAACTCGTCAAGAACTACTAGCTATTGTGAGGCTCACACGCCAATTTCGACACCACCTTCTGGGGAAACCGTTCAAGGAACCCCAAGGTCAACTGGCCCGGTGGATTGAGGAACTGAGCCAGTACAATATGACTCTTAAGCATCGTCGAGGGAGCCTTCATAGCAATGCTGATGCACTCTCGCGAACGGGAGATACATCAGATAGTCACTTCATCCACGGAGCAGAATTGAAGGATCTACCGTGTGGAGGGTGCTCATACTGCACTAAGGCCCACACGCAGTGGTCAAGCTTCATTGAGGAGGTAGACGATGTGGTGCCTATCTCCCGCTGCCAACTGGCCACTCTCTTCGCATCGGAAGAGAGTAGTGACTCAGCCGCGTCCCGCGTCTGGGACCCTGGAGGCAAAATGCAACCAGAAACATCACACTAGAACAAAGGAGTGCCATGGTAGGAATGTGCCGAGTGGCAGGGTGGCCAGTGCCGGAGGAATTTTCCCTGAACCCCGTCAACAGTGTGGCAGCATTGTCTCACTGGAGGTGCTTATTGGTATTGGCAGGAGAAATATCGCCTCAAGGGATGGGGGAGCTTACACGACGGTATCCATCTACCGGACTCCGCCGTTCTTCGGAGTCATCCACTAGCATCCAAGCAACATTGGAGCAAATTCCCCCCAGCCCCAGACAGGAAGTCCTGCAGCAGGACGAGAAACAGATCCCGCATTCGGGATCCACAGGAAGTGCCCCATACAAGAAGGCGGAGAAGACCCTCATTCGCAGCTTCGATAGCCACTTCCACCTGGACAGATTGTCGGCCAGAGGCCCCAGGATTCCATTGACTCATCTGGCGGCTATCGAACAGGCATTTCCCCAACAGCCAGACAAGGGCTATACGACTCTGCTGTCGGGAGCCGTAGCGGTCTTCTGTGATCAAAAGACATTGCCTTCGGAGAAAGAAATAACAGCTCTGACCCAGCAAGGATTCACAGTGATGATCGGCGCTCATCCAAAGATAATCTTGACACGCAAGGAGAGACAAAGGGTGAAGTCATTGAGCCAGCATCCTTCAGTCAGCGGAGTAGGTGAGGTTGGTTTGGACCATTCGGTGACCTCAGACCTTTGGCACCTACAAGAGAGGCAACTCCGAGATCTCCTGACTGGCCTACCTCCGTCAAGAGTCCTGACTCTCCACATCCGCGGTATGCGAGACGATGTCACTGGAGTAGAGGCCTACATGCGATGCCTGGACGTCATAACACCGATCATCAAGGGAAGTCAGAAGATCCAGCTGCACTGTTTCTCCAGCACCACAGAGGTAGTCCAGCAGTGGCTGGAATCCTTCCCCAGTACCCACTTCAGCATAAGTAACATGGCGAACAGCTTCAACAGTCAACAGAGGGCTGCCCTGAAGTCAGTTCCAAGGAACAAGCTGCTTCTGGAGACCGATGCACCTTACTTCCCCCCAGTTGGCAAGAAACTGAATGCCCCGTCTCTACTTGACTACACAGCTGAGTCGGTGGCCACCATTCTGGGAGACATCTCACCGGAAGAAGTTCTTGAACTAACCGAAACAAACGCGAGGGCATTCTTCCACTGAAGCAGGACACAGAACTCTCTCAGCTTTTGCCGCTGTACAGGGAGAAATATGAACCTCCACCAATGCTTTCCTTCAGTTAGAAGGAATGGCACTTATTTAGTGTTGGGTTTTATATTTAGTGTTTTTCCATGTTTAGTATTTGTAATACTTGTATTTTTCACTAACTTATGTTAAGAGCCCCCCACACCATCATCCAAAGAAGAAAAGTGGGAGGAGTGTAGTGCCAGTTGATACGTCACCCGTACTAATCAATGTATCAGAATTATGCGGTCACGTGACCGATGATCAATTTATCGTTTTTTGCGGGCGCCGCCATCTTAGATCAGTCGTTGTTGTATGATAAACATTGTCACATGGTTGTTACCAAAACTCTTCCAGAACTTGTAGTGTTCTCGTGTTTCTGCACCAATCCGTCTCATTTGCGTTCGAGACCCAAGTTGCCGGATCGGACTTAAGCCTGGGATTAATCCAGTAATCCTGCGGCTTGTCTTTTTACGAGGAATTCGGACCCGTAAGAAGTGAAGTCGGCCGCGGCAAGCACCGTCTCGGTTCACGCTCCTGACGCACGTGTAGATATATGAGGCGCCATGTGTAAATAAATTATTTAACAAAATTATTTATATATAATTCATTATTTATTATATAATTCAGTTTCCCGGACAATTATATGTAAATAATTGTTTGGCAGTTTGCATTATATGTAAATAAATTTATTTGCCACTGCATTATTTATATATAATTTTTTTGGCAACCTAATTATTTACATATAATTTTGGGCAAACTAGAATTATTTATATATAATTTATTTGCAACCTTATTATACATATACAATATTTGCACACTTTTTTTATTTATATATAATTTATTTGCAAACTTATTAATTATATAGAATTTTTGCACACTTTTTTTATTTATATATAATTTATTTGCAAACTTATTATTTATATATAAATTTTGCACACTTTTTTTATTTATATATAATTTATTTGCAAACTTATTATTTATATATAATTTTTGCACACTTTTTTTATTTATATATAATTTATTTGTAACCTTTTTATTTATATATAATTTTTGCCAACTTTATTTATTTATATATAATTTATTTGGTACCTCATTATTTATATATAATTTTTTGCCCACTTTATTTATTTATATATAATTTATTTGGTACCTCATTATTTATATATAATTTTTGGCACGCTTTAATTATTTATTATATAATTTATTTGGTTACTTATTATTTATATATAATTTTTGCACACTTTAATTATTTATTATATAATGCATTATTTATTATATAATGCATTATTTATTATATAATGCATTATTTATTATATAATGCATTATTTATTAAATAATTCATTATTTATTATATAATTCATTATTTATTATATAATTCATTATTTATTATATAATTCATTATTTATTATATAATGCATTATTTATTATATAATTCATTATTTAATATGTAATTCGTTATTTATTATATAATTCATTATTTATTATATAATTCATTATTTATTATATAATTCATTATTTATTATATAATAAATAATTATTATATATTGTGCGCCCGAAGCGAACGAGGCTATGATTTATAAATAATGGTTTTCAGCAAACCAGGGAACCAGACTACAGCAAAACCATTATACATGTATATTATATAATGGTTTTCTGAGCTAAATAATGAAACTCACATGCAAATTAACTTCACTAGGACACGCCTATGTTTTAAATATTCATATCACATAGCGCACCAAAACCGCACTTGCTTTAAAAAAAACACGCATTATTGTGTATTTTGGGTATTGTGGGTCTGAATTTTTCTAATTTGCGACCCGAAAGTATTGGAAATGACTCTCAAATTCTGTAAACTTGCATATTTCAGGTCAACGATTCTTAAAAATTACGGAGAAATTAGCTATGCACAACGCTCGCGCTAGCTAGCTACTACGATGGCCATCATGATCTATCCCGCAGTGCTGTCATGTTAACGCTGATATAAGCGCGCCTGTGCTGACACTGCGTGCACCGTGGAGGTGTAGCGGGTATCGGTAACGAACTGGCTGCGCGCGGCAGGAAGTTTCGGGAAAACAAGCTGCTGCAAGTACAAGCGGTACAATCAGTACGCCCTGAAAATAAACAATAAATACAAATGAATACATCAAAACGGAAAAGGTAAACCACGGAAAATACATAATTACACATAATGCCATTAATGGTGTAACTGAGACCGAGTTGACTACGACCGAGTTGCTTTCGACTCAACTCGGTCCCAAGTCAACTCGGTCCCAGGTCAACTCGGTCCCAACTCGGTCCCAGGTCAACTTGGTCCTATGTCAACTTGATAGGGAGAAACTGATCTAGCAAGGAACCTTGGACAAAATTCAAATTGTGCCATAACAGGGGCTGTGCCTTGTTAGGGTACATCATTAATAAACCGTTAAAGTGGTTACGTCATACACCGCTAAGGTCATGCCTTACCGAGGTCACACGTTCCACACATACCTGGCCTTACGTAGCTTTAATGGTGCCCACTTGTTACTTATTTGTTTTATCCATTAAAAATGGTGACAAAAGACATTGGTTACTTAACAATGTCATATTTAGTTAAAGCATAGTGCCCACAAAATGACGGCAGATTGTATTCATGGCCTTACATAGCTATATAGCACGGCGCATCAATCCATCACTGAAAAAGGTAAAAAAAATCACGGCATTTGTAACAATCTGCTATCATTTTGTGGGCACAATACTACTGAGGGCTTTTTTAAAATCATTTTCAACAGATAAAAAAAAAAGTAACAAGTGGCCAACATGCAGTGGCGTCACCAGACTTTTCAGTCTGGGGGGGGGGGGGGCACAGGGGGGCACCAGCATTTGATGGGGGGGGGGCACTTAGGTGGATACGGATCGCCGTCCTGGGGGAGGGGTCTAAGGGGAGCCCCCCTCCCCTTTGGAAAATTTTCGCATACGGAGGATGGGCTAGATGCAAAATGGTGCCACATTTGATGCTAAATTCGATCTGAAGATATCTCCAGAAATTGCTATTTTTGAGGTAATGATTTTAACAACGCGCAGAATTTTGCAGAGGATAGGGGGGCACCAGCATTTGATGGGGGGGCACTCGGGGGGGCACTAGGTTTTCCAGGGGGGGCACGTGCCCCCCCCCCTGCCCCCCCCCCCCCCTTGACGACGCCACTGCCAACATGTTAAAGCTACGTAAGGCCAGGTAGGTGTGGAACGCGGGACCTCGGTAAGGCATGACCTTAGCGGTGTATGACGTAACCACTTTAACGGTGTATTAATGATGTACCCTAACAAGGCACAGCCCCTATTATGGCACAATTTGAATTTTGTCCAAGGTTCCTTGCTAGATCAATTTCTCCCAATCAAGTTGACATAGGACCGAGTTGACCTGGGACCGAGTTGAGCTGGGACCGAGTTGGGACCGAGTTGACCTGGGACCGAGTTGATTTGGGACCGTCGAGTTGACTCGAAAGCAACTCGGTATAGCTCCATGGTCCGAGTCAACTCGGTCTCGGTTACACAATTATGTGTAATTATGTATTTTCCGTGGTTTACCTTTTCCGTTTTGATGTAATCATTTGTATTTATTGTTTATTTTCGGGGCGTACTGATTGTACCGCTTGTACTTGCAGCAGCTTGTTTTCCCGAAACTTCCTGCCGCGCGCAGCCAGTTCGTTACCGATACCCGCTACACCTCCACGGTGCACGCAATGTAGCACAGGCGCGCTTATATCAGCGTTAACATGACAGCTCTGCGGGATAGATCATGATGGCCACTGTAGTAGCTAGCTAGCGCGAGCGTTGTGCATAGCTAATTTCTCCGTAATTTTTAAGAATCGTTGACCTGAAATGCGCAAGTTTACAGAATTTGAGAAACATTTCCAATACTTTCGGGGCGCAAATAAGAAAAATTCAGACCCACAAAAATACCCAAAATACACAATACTGCGTGTTTTTTTTATAGCAAGTGTGGTGTTTTGGTGCGCTATGTGATATGAATATTTAAAACATAGGCGTGTCCTAGTGAAGTTAATTTGCATGCGAGTTTCGTTATTTAGCTCAGAAAACCATTATATAATATAAAATGGTTTTGCTGTAGTCTGGTTCCCTGGTTTGCTGAAAACCATTATTTAGAAATCATAGCCTCGTTCAACCTCGTCCCCAGTGCTTACTTTATTTCCAACCGTGTTTCCAATAGTAAACCCTGGATAGGAAACTTTCTTCCTGTATCCTGATTGGATACCGCAATTGGCTAGTAATGGATTTTTATCGTGTACTTGGTGCTATATATTCACAACGTGCAGTACGTGTTTTCGCGATCATTCGTCCACGCCTTCTCGAAAATACTAATTTTCCTTCCAATTTGCTCATATTAATATGAAATATGATACTGCATGTTTGTCTCGATAAGATCGTAACAGTTTGATTTCAAAAATCGTGTTTTCGTAACTCACGCAGTGCTCGCGCTGCTACGAATTGACTCTGTTTTTACCCCAGACACCGCATACAAAAACAAACGCTAATGTGTAACGCATATCCAGGCACCAGACTGTTCCTCATTTGCATACGTGTGCAAAAATCTTGCACATGCAAATGATCCTATACCAGGGTGAGAGAGCAGGTAGTGGTGGGTGCGTACTGCTCGACACCTTGGGGACGAGGTTGAGCCTCGTTCGCTTCGGGCGCACAATTATATAATAAATATTCAATTAATAAATAATGAATTATATAGTAAATAACGAATTATATAATAAAGAGTGAATTATATAATAAATAATGAATTATATTGGTAAATAACGAATTATGAATTATTTAATAAATAATGAATTATTTAATAAATAATGAATTATATAATAAATAATGAATTATATAATAAATAATGAATTATATAATAAATAATGCATTATATAATAAGTAATGCATTATATAATAAATAATGCATTATATAATAAATAATGCATTATTTA